CACACACACACACACACACACACACTCATTCCTAATTCTTTCCCTTCTTTTTTTACCCTCACGAGTTCTCCCAGAGAACAGCGTAATAGGAAATGCATGACTAAACCATTGTGACTCTAATGTGTTCTCACAGCATTCGATGTTTAAACACTTTCTTCAGACTAGTAGTAAAAGCAAGACAGGCTGTGTTTGGAAATAGTGACTTGGTGATGCTGCAGTTGTTTAATTACAAACAGTTTTACTGTTTTAAGTTAAGAGATGATCTCTGCTCTTGACTTCAGCACTTATTTTGCTTTATGGTAGAGATGTTTTAGAGTGGAGAAACGTTACACAATAAATGGAATCCATCCAACAGTCCCTCACCACACACACACACACACACCCATGATCACACATAACTTTAGACGGTATCAGGCAGTGATGTCGTTCCCATAGCTACTCGAAAATAAATGGATCAGGGAAACGCAAGCCAGTTACAGTGAAAGCGGTGAATTTACTGTGTGTATGTACTGAATTGAACACCTCTTTGAAAAAAAACAACAACGGGATTTCAGTTTCACCCGTCACAATAAATAGAGCATTTTGAGTGATCAGTGTTCCAGTTTAATATTTGAGTAGGCCTGTAACCAAAGGCAAAGGCTGGATTTGCCATCTGGGTGGATTATCATCAAATATAAGATTGTGCATAGGGATCCACCGATATTCAAATTATGGTTGATTAGATAAGCTGATAATTGTTTTATTGTCATGGCTAATAATTTTCATGTAATGGCCGATAATTGATAAATGACAGAATTCTACAACATTTTGTCTAAATGCATTTAAAATAAAATGCTTAAAACTAAGATCAGTCAATTTAAATGCTAAAAGTGAATTTAGTCATGTACAGTAGGAAAAAAGGATATTAACTTCAAGATTTGCTAAAAATTACATTTAACAGTGTTACTAAGTTATTTAATGTGTTTATATTAAATTAAGTTATTAGTATTTTTAAAGACTAAGTGTTAGATGAAGGCAAAGATAATCCAAATGCAAAAATTAATTTTAAAAATCTATAATATCTATAACCTATATAGATATATTTGTATATCTTACATTTTTATATCAGTGTATCTAAATTTTGATTGGTTGGGCACTGAACTGTTCGCCAACCTTTATTTGTTTGCTTGCTTATAACAGGTGCATGATATTTTTTAATATAAATCATGTCTTATGTGTACTGTATGTATGTGTGTGTTTTATCACAGTCTTTTGTTTGGAACACTGTATCCTGCATACTACTCCTTTAAAGCCGTCAAATCCAAGAATGTCAAAGAATATGTGAGTACTCAATTCATAAATGCACATGCATATCTTCATCCATGTTCTACTGATTCTTCACATCTATTTGAGTTTAGAGAATGTTAATAGCCAGAATAGATGGAGAGCCCCAGCTAAACTGTCTGTATATCCTGGTTACTCTTTGTATCTGATGGAGGCTGTCAGTAACTAAACCCTGAGCTGTTGAGCAATTTAATACTGTTCTTCCACCATGTGTGCCCTGTTTGTGCTTTGTGTACTTCCTTTTCTTTCCTTACAAAAAATACTGTGACTGTACCGTGGTACAGTGATGTGATACCATTGTACTTTGATGTATATCATATAGTGTATGAATAATATTCATATTATAGTATTTACATGGTAAGTTTTTGTAAGCAGCTCTTCTATACCTCCAGTAGACATTTTGTGTTTGCGTTTGTGGTTTGACAGGTGCGATGGATGATGTACTGGATTGTGTTTGCTCTTTACACAGTGGTGGAGACCATCACAGACCTTTCTTTGGCTTGGTAAATATACATATACAGTCAGGAAAGAGGCAAATAAATACTTGTTATTGGATTGCATGGAGTAATTTTGCATCAAGTGGTTTTATTAACATTTTGCCATTCTTCTCTGTTGTATGACTTTTCACTGTCTAGCCTTTATGGTTTATGAAAAGGGCTTTTATCTGTTGTTGCAGATGTTGAGCTCCATTTATTTTCTTCAGGCCACTTAGAGGAACCAGTCTGTTAGGTTCAGTTTCAGTTCGGTTAAATTCCTGTGCATTTCATTCGTTTCGTGACATAAAAAAAAAGAAAAGAAAAAGAAAAAACTTTTTTTTTTTTGCTGGCTTGGGTCCTCCTAAATTAGATCAATTTTATTTGCATGTATAGTTCTATGCAGTGTACTAATACTGAAAAAAGTGGCATTAAAGATGCACATTGAATTTTTTCAGTTTTTTTAATGACGTTTAACTCTTCTGTAATTTAAATAAATAAATAAAAAATCTGTAAATCATTTTTTAAGAAAAATTTCACTCCTTTGTAATTATAAATAATAAAGACATAAATAACAATAAATACAAATTCAAATACATATATATAAAAAATAGTTTTTTTTTGGCAAATTATTAACTTTGTGTCTTTGTGTGAATTTGTGTCTATTAAACAGCCATAGTTTCATTAAATTGATCCACCAAGGCTGAGGTCCATAAAAATAAAATTGAAGAGAACGCATAGATCAAATTCATTATTTTGTCTTCCATCAGCCCTCTGTTTTCATATTGTTTGTACTTGACTGTTTCAGGTTTCCAGTTTACTACGAAGTGAAAATGGCTTTCGTCTTTTGGTTGCTGTCTCCCTACACTAGAGGAGCCAGTGTCCTCTACAGGAAGTTCCTACACCCTATGCTGGCATCCAAGGAGAGGGTAATGACCTAAGCATCTCATCAGGTTCCCTGGGAATAGGCATTCACTGACAGTGAACACATAGCCATACTGAAATGTGTTATGGAATCGGGAGGATTACATAATCAGTGATTACATAAATGATGTTAAGAGATAAACAGATGGATTGGGTTAGTTGCATGTCTTGATTACATGATCATTATGAACTAACAGTAAACTGCACGGTTCGTTTAACTGCGCCTGCATATTTTGTTTCCAGCCCTCTGTAATTGTTTGTTGTCAAACAATTCCTAGTTAGAGGTTAAGGGGGAATTTAAGTTATAGATTTATTGACTGTTTCACATTCTGTTTTTCAGGAGATTGACGAGTATATTGTCCAGGCCAGAGAGAAAAGTTATGAGACCATGGTGAATTTTGGGCGGCAGGGTCTCACGATTGCGGCTGCTGCTGCTGTCTCCGCTGCTGTGAAGGTATTGCACAGACACATGCTCATTCATACACTCATGCAGTGTTTATACTAGGCATTTGAGCTAACCTAACTAACTAAGCTGATTTGGTCAGCTAACAGCTTTCATTCCATGTAAACAGAAACATTGTTTTGCATTGATACATTATTTCTTTTGTGATTCATTGTTTACTTTTATTTCTGTTATGTTGTCGTAAATTTAAAATAAAAAGTTAAAAGCTCACAAAGGCTGCATTTATTTGATGAAAAATACAGTAATAACAGTAATAGCAGCCATTACTCTAGTCTTCAGTGTCACATGATACATGATCCTTCAGAAATCATTTTTTGGAAACGTATATATACAAGTATGGGGTCAGTAAGGTTTATAGGTTGTTAAAGGCAGAGTAAGTGATTTCTGGTAGCCAATGTTGATATTTGAAATCACCAAAACAAACACGCCTCTACCCCAAAAGGGTCTTGCCCCTATTTTGATAGCTCCGCCCCACATATACGTACGCAACCCAGGCAACGATTAGTTCTGTGAAACAAAGCAAAACCAATGTTACACCGTGTCTACTGACGTGAGCGGCGCGGCGCAACAAATCCCGACAGAAAACTGCTGCCGGGTTCTATTTATGACGTGCTGACACACATTTCAAATGGTTTTCAGCGGTCGTTTGATCGCGTCCAGTGTAGGCAGACTTTAGTTGTTGTAGACACGGTGTTACTCACCTATTGAGAAGAAACAAAGCAACCTCGGCGTCCGATCGCAGGCCTCGCTCCTTGAGTTCTCTCCAGCGCTGGAAAGCTGATCCGATATTTTCACGGGTCCTACTTCTTGCCTTATCGTTCCGCAGATGTTTTCCTCTTTTGTTTTTTATCCGCCATCTCTATCTTTCTGTCGCTCGGCTCGGCTAATGTCCGTCCCATGCACTGAACGCGCTCTCCTCCACATCACGAGTAGACACGCCCCTTATTGCTGATTGGCTACAAGTTTGTTTTGCGATTCGACCTGAATCAGTTTTCTAAAGTGTTTTTGAAAAATCACTTACTCTGCCTTTAAGTATTAGCGCGTTAACGCATGCAATACATTTTTTCAGTTTAACGCGTTAAAAATATTTAATGCAATTAACACAGGGTCGGAGCTAGGGTTGGCCTCCCCACTCACAACTGCTGCTTCTGTCTCTTTTCTGTTGACAAGAATTGCGTTTATTTAGACACAGAACATCTTTATGAACACATCAAAGCAGATACTTTTCAGACGCGCACCCCAACTTCGCATTAGCACCAGGCGCAAGTCAAACTAGTGCGGAAAAGGTACAGGTGACAAGGGAGCTTCAGTAGAACAACAGTGAACTGCGGTCAGATGAGATGTTGTCAGGCCATGTGTCAGTAAAAACTAATTTTCCTGTCCTGTCAGCCATTATACAGTGCTCGTAGCGCACGAAAAAATGCAGTGACGCACGTTGTATATAATAAAGCTCAATTGAAACTACGACCTTGCAATGTCATAGTTATGTCGTCAGTTAAATCATGAAGATACCAAAAGGGCGATTAAAGCTGCCTTAAAACTGTGCATGCATGTAAGTATTTGTTATGAGTTAAATTAAATCTTAATTTAAGTCTCTGAAATGCAGTTTTCAAAACTGTCCTGGAGCAGCCTAGCACTGTCTCCCTCATCTAACACACAAGATTCAACTCATCAACGCATTAGTAGAGACTTTAAGACCTGAAGTGGGTCAGAAAAGGTAAAGAGTTGTGAGAAAAGATGATGCGTGTCAGATCCGCGTCATGTTCAGCAGCGACAGCTCTTAAAGCAGCCAAAATAACCTAATAACCCAGCTGCTGTGATGTCTGTTAATCAAAGAAAAATAGAGGAAATCAATAACTTTTGCAGCTTTAAGGATTTATATTTAATTTAGAATTTAGTGTTTGATAACTTTATTCAATTTCTGTATATTTCCTACTTGCTGAAGTGCACAGGAAGCTAAATATGACATTTATTATAATGGGTCTACTAAATGTTAAAATTGATAGCTCTCAATTATACTGTAATGTTGAATGGCTATAGTCAATGGTTGAATATTAAGAAAAAAAAATTCCTAGAGATATCAGTAGTATTGGTATCAGTGATACTCGCCTTCAGTCATAAAAAAGATGCCATTAAACATATACAAAATATAAACAGTCTTTATGTTGTTTCTACATTCATTTGAAGATTGAATTGAATTGTTTTTAAGGTGGGATTAATCGTGATTAATTTCAGAAAAAAATATGTGATTCGTTTTTTTTTTTTTATCGATTGACAGCACTAATATGTATAATATTAAAAATATACAGCATGTTAAGGACATAAAAATGCACTGCAAAAATTGCATGTGTTCTTCACTGTGGCCTCTCCTGTTCTCTTGACTGCTTTTTTAAAATCAAATTTGCTGTCTGGCCATGTCTGGTTCCTAAAAAAAGATCTAAATCACTAGTGCTCTTCTGTTTTTGGTAAGGCTCTTCTGTTTTTGCTAAGGTCTACTGTTCTTATCTAGAAACAAGAATATCATAGACATTTAGGCTCTTTCAACTTTGGCCAGTAAGCAACCACCCAGAACACCCTAGCAACCGCATAGCAACACTCTAAAAATCACTGAGAAAACCTTGGCGAATGCATAGCAACACTCTGGCAACCATCTGCCCCATTGTTATGGGTTGCTATGCTGTTGGTAATGATGTTCTGAGCACGACTGATGTTTTCTGCAGAAAATGTAAAAATCTAGTTCATATCTTCCTTTTTCCTTTCTCTTTCTGTCTACATGCTAAACTAATCTCCAGCAGTAGCTGCTGCACCTATCCCAGGTAACTTGCTTTCTTTTTCAATCTGCTTTAACCTGTCACCAGCACGTCATTAGACCATTATTAACTGGGAAGTTAAATAAAAGATGTCTTTGTGTATTATAAAGGTAACCACAACTTCAAAGGTTTTGGGGTTTTGAATTCTGTTTACTCAATGCACGATGTACAATGGATCATCATGTCACAGGGACAGGGAGCTATCAGTGAACGTCTGAGGAGTTTCAGTATTCCAGACCTGACGCAGTTCCCCTCTGAACAATCAGCATTCGCCAACCCCAGCCGACGGGCCCTCCAGCCTGCTAACCCTAGTGCTGCTGATTCTGGTGAGTGCTGTACATGCGTTAAAAGAATAAAAGAATAGTTCAACACCCCCCCACCCCACAAAACAAAAACTTGCTGGGAATTTACTCACCCTCAGGCTGATGTACAAGATTTAGATGAGTTTGTTTCTGTATCGGAACGGATTAGGAGAAATTTAGCATTAAATCACTTGCTCCTCTACAGTGAATGGGTGCCGTCACAATGAGAGTCCATCAACTTATAAAAACATCATAATAATCAAGTGACTCTAAAAATCACTGAGAAAACCTTGGCGAATGCATAGCAACACTCTGGCAACCATCTGCCCCATTGTTATGGGTTGCTATGCTGTTGGTAATGATGTTCTGAGCACGACTGATGTTTTCTGCAGAAAATGTAAAAATCTAGTTCATATCTTCCTTTTTCCTTTCTCTTTCTGTCTACATGCTAAACTAATCTCCAGCAGTAGCTGCTGCACCTATCCCAGGTAACTTGCTTTCTTTTTCAATCTGCTTTAACCTGTCACCAGCACGTCATTAGACCATTATTAACTGGGAAGTTAAATAAAAGATGTCTTTGTGTATTATAAAGGTAACCACAACTTCAAAGGTTTTGGGGTTTTGAATTCTGTTTACTCAATGCACGATGTACAATGGATCATCATGTCACAGGGACAGGGAGCTATCAGTGAACGTCTGAGGAGTTTCAGTATTCCAGACCTGACGCAGTTCCCCTCTGAACAATCAGCATTCGCCAACCCCAGCCGACGGGCCCTCCAGCCTGCTAACCCTAGTGCTGCTGATTCTGGTGAGTGCTGTACATGCGTTAAAAGAATAAAAGAATAGTTCAACACCCCCCCACCCCACAAAACAAAAACTTGCTGGGAATTTACTCACCCTCAGGCTGATGTACAAGATTTAGATGAGTTTGTTTCTGTATCGGAACGGATTAGGAGAAATTTAGCATTAAATCACTTGCTCCTCTACAGTGAATGGGTGCCGTCACAATGAGAGTCCATCAACTTATAAAAACATCATAATAATCAAGTGATCCACATGAATCCAGTGCATCAATTAACATCTTGTGAAGTGAAAAGCTGTGTGTTTGTAAGAGACAAATCCATCATAAAGGTGTTTTAACCTTAAACTGTCACTTCTGTCCAAAATACCAGTCCATAAACCATAATAATGCTTCCTCCAGTGAAAAAGTCCTTCCCCTGTTGTCCTCTCACATCAAAATCCACCAATATATTTGTTTAGAACTGTTCTGGACTGTTTTCACTTGTAAATGGTGCTTGATCTGTGCATATTTTTTTTCCTGATTCAGACGTGATGACTTTTGCACTGGAGAAAGCAATATTATGGATAGAGGACTCAAAAGCGAACAAAGTTAAAAATGTCTTAATGATGGATTTATTACAATCACGCAGCTTGTGTATTACTTGCATAACTTGTGGGTTATTGTGATGTTTTTGTCAACTACTCTCATTCTGGTGGCACCCATTCACTGCAGTGATATAAAGCAAGTGATGTAATGCTAAATTTCTCCAAATCTGTTCAGATGAAAAAAATTATTCATCTATAACTCGGATGGCCTGGGATGAGTAAGTTTTAGCAAATTTAGATTTCTGGGTAAACTTTTCCTTTAATGACAGCATTGCTGATTATATAATGATAAATGATTGATTATGTAATTATGAAAAACTAAATTAAATTAAATACTGATTTAACTAAAGAAACAAATGAACTGTAAGAGTCAAAATTAGCATTTTAAGACCTCAAGGCCAAATGAACCCTAGTGGAGTGCATTGTCATCAGAAAGTAATTATTATGTCTCCCTCTAGTGGTAGAACAAGGTTTGAAAAGCAATCCTGATGGAAAGTTCAGCTGGTCAATAGAAACGTAACCAAAAAACAAAATAAAAACCATTAGCGAAATTAAAATGAATAGAGAGACCTGTGATAAATAAGCTCCAAACAACTTTTTCACCATATTACAATACTTTTCATTGCACTTTTGCATCCTTTATGAGGCTTGAAAGCTTTAGAATCCATTAGTTGTGATTGTATGGAACATTTCTTTTTTTGTGTGTGTTCCACAAATTCACAATATGGGTTTGGAGTGACATGAGGGTGAGTAAATGATGACAGAATTTTAATTTTTTTGGGTAAACTTATCCTTCAAGGTTCAGTTCCTCTTGTTTGAGATCTTTATTGCTTCCTCTGTGCATCTGCTCCAACAGAGCCATATAAACAAGCAGGGGAGGGGCATGAGGAGGAAACAGATGGAGTATTCTCCGAAGACGAGGCGTCAGTGCAGAAGGGTCTACGCAGATCTCAGAGTGTGAAACTCACCCGTGCCAAAGCAGCACGCAAAGAGGTATATTTTTTGCACATGCAAAAATTGTATGTTCAACTATGTCATAATCTAAAGAAGAATACAAAATACAAACATTTTCCCTGGTGGTCTAAGTCTTTTAGACCCCACTGTAATATTTACTGAAAATTAACTGTGTATTGATGTTTTATTGTTTTTAAAGCCTCGCTATGGCTCTCTGAAGCTGAAACCCAGAAGGCGGCAATTGATTGCATCATCCACTTTTGACCACCCTTGATTGTCCAATACAAACCCACAGATGGGATCAGCATCAAAACTGCAGTCTAATCTTCGGTTTAAGTTTTATCCTAAACTTTGGATGAATGCTAATGCTCTTTCAAAGCAGCACTAAACACAAAACTACAACTACAAACAGACTTACAGCATGAATAATGACTTTTACATTTATTCATTTAGTAGATGCTATTTCCAAAGTGATTTACAGATGAAAAATACTACAATACAAGTGACAATGATGCAGAATGATGAATAGAGAATATTGCATGTGGCTTTATTTGTTCAGAAAAAAATACCAAAGCCTTATATGAGTACAGGAAGACTACGAATGTACTAAAAATGTCATTTAAAAGTGGATCTGAGCGCATCTGATCTGTAACTTGACCTGAACCTGCCTCTGTAGAGACATCTCTTATTACGCATGGTGTAAGAAGCACCGATATCCCTGGTGTCCTCGCTCTCCCTCTACAGGGGCGGGTGTCCAAGTCAAAGGTTTCTGTAGTGTGAGCCTTTCAGCCTGTTTTCACAGTAATGAAATAGAGCAGGAAAAAAATCTGACTAAAAAAAAGAGTGTGCATGTTAGCGGGTTTTTGTATATGCATAGATGTTTCAGCTGGTTCATCTTTACATTTCCATAGTTTTGCCCAGAATGAAAGTTCTGTCATCATTTATTCACCCTCATATCATTCCAAACCCATATTAATTTATTTTTTCAATGGAATGCAAAAGGCATATTTTTGAACAATATCCTATACGCTCTTTTCCAGTAAATGGGGATTCGGCCTGTCAAGCAAGCTCCAAAATGACAGATAAAGAACATCAAAGTATCATAAAAGTGGTTTATTTGACTACATGCATCAATCAAAAACATTGAAGCCATTTTTCTCAAGTTCAGTATTATTGCATTTTGTCTTCACTCTGTGAAGTCAACAGTTATTTACTAAATTCTTAAATGGACTACTGAAAGTTCAGAAATTGCATGTTAACAACATACACCATTGGTTCATTTTAGAACTACAGTGCAAGGGAAGATTTTCAGTAAATTTTAATGTTCCAACGAATTCATACAGGTTTGGAATGACATGAAGATTAGTAAATAATTTTTTTCCTGCATTTCTGGGTGAACTGTGCCTTTAACTTTTAAATCTGTCATGGAATTCTGTAACTGTAATCTTAAGTTGTTGCTTTTAAGTAACAGTATTTTTAAAAGCGGTTTCTAAATACATTTCTTAAGTTTGAATGCCTTAGGGTTGTGTTTTTTAAAACATTTTGTGCAATCAATTTTAGAGTGATATACATTAATTTTAATCATGCTTGTTTGTTAGTCTGTCATTCTAACGTTTTAACAGCCTTAATAACTGATTTTAATAACAACATGCACTAAGTAGTATATCATTTGACCAAAACACTAGCTTTATCTTTGCAAAGCATGACAGGAGAGTGAATCTGACTAGTTGACAGAAGACTGTTTGTACTGTACATGTGTAAACAGTGGGATGATTTTTCCTTTTTTGAACATGTTAGTGTTTTGTGTTGGACAGTTAAATGTGTGGGAAAAGCCTCTAAGGATTTGGTTTATTGGTGTGTTTTGTGTGATAGAGGAAACCTGTTGATTAGGGATATGTATACAGATGTGTGACCAACCGCTGTTTTGAATGTGTTATCAGTAATAAGGTTTAAAACAAAGTTTCTTTTCTATGACCTTGGAATAGGACATGGAAAACCTCAAAAAATATCAGGGAATCTTGAAAGGCCTGGAAAAGTCATAAACGTGGAAAACGTGAGGGAAAGGTGGAAATTTCTTTAAAGAAAATGTATTTTTCTGGGTTTCTCTGCTTTAAGCTATTTCATGGGCTAGATATTACTCTTTATGAGTGCTGCAAAGTCAATGAAACATCAGTCTGTCTTTTGAGAGTCTCCTTGGAGACAAGACTAATAAAACACTAAATATATTTTTGTAAACAAGTGTAATCTTTTAAATCCATTAACTCCTAAATTAGTACCTGTCTGATGTGCCAAAACATCTGCTTTAATTATTTTCCTGTACTTATGAACAACTGGATGGGAAACACTCATGGAAATTCACTGTAGAAAATGTACAGGAACATTGTGTATATACAGATTAGGACATCATTTAGCAGTACAGACGCCAATTAGTCCTAATCATAAGCTCCTCTAGGTCTGTTTGTTAATAAAATAAATGCTTTATGTATTAGCATGTTAATTTCTTAATAGCACCTAGTTCACCATGTTGTCTGTCATAATGCAGTTTCTCCACTGACCACTAGAAGCAGTCACGTTTTGTTTTTCAAAGTCACTCTTTGGTTTTGCCAGCATATTTATTTACCAAAGTGGAACACTTGTAGTTAGTTTAGGAAACCTCTGCAAAGGCACATCTTTTAAAAGGTTTAATCCTAACAAACCCATATAAATTGTATTTAAACATGTCAATGGTCTTTCTCAGCAGAATCTTATTACTTCAGGTTCAAATGATATTTGATTGTGTTCATCCGAAAGTCACCTTTAGTGTGTGTGTGTGTTTTTGTGACAAATGAGGACATAAATTTGTATAATGACAAGGGTATGACATAGGTATTACAAGGAGAAGGTGACTTTTCAGGACATTACCCCATGTCCCCACTTTTCAAAACGCTTATAAATCACACAGAATGGAGTGTATTGAAAATCTGAAATAGCACAAAGTTTCCTGTGAGGGGTAGGTTTAGGTGTAGGGTTGGTGTAGGGCAATAGAATATACAGTTTGTACAGTATAAAAACCATTACGCCTATGGGATGTCCCCACTTTTCACAAAAACAAACCTGTGTGTGTGTGTGTGTGTGTGTGTGTGTGTGTGTGTGTGTGTGTTTAACCTTTATGTGGAGCCGCCTGATTTGAATAATCACGCCTTTAGGCTATAAAGAAGAAAGGGATTAACATTACAAACAAGCTTCCACGTGTTGTGCTGCTAGTTTTGTCTTGAACTGCAAACAACACACTGTTTTAATGCTACTTATATTTATTTTAACTTACACAACAATGACAATACAGAAATACTTTTTAATAAGACTTGACGGTGATGGCCGTGTTCATGTTCACTGATAATTGCCAAGACTGAGGCAGGTTGTGTGTGTGTGGTCCAACAGCAGTTGTGGTCTCTGTCACAGAACGTGTCTTTCAGCACCTTAGTGTGGAGATGTCCTGTGACTCTGACGCTATCAGAGAAAAGAGGGGAAGAGAAGAGGAAAAGAATGAAAGAATAAGAAGAGAATGAAAGAAAAATAGGTTCATCTGTCAGGAGGTCAAGTCCTCCTGGAATATGAGTGTGTGTTTGTGGAGACATCAGTGAGAGAGTGAAACTACCTGTTGGTCCACAACCAGATACTGTATATCAAAAACACACTTTTATTTTGTTTTATTTTTTCTTTCTTTTTCTTTTCATTTCTTTTTTTCTTGGACAACTACAAGGTATTTATTCAAACAAGCTCTATAGACAGCATCTGTTGCATACAAAAATTGCATGTAGAAAAAGTACTGAAATGTGCAATTCATTCTGTTTTTATTAATTCTTCCATATAAAAGTGTGTATTAGTTGAACTGTAAAGTTATATAAAATCATATTTTTATTAGTGGGATATTCTGTTCTAGGAGGATAAACTTTTTGTACAGTTCAGGGTTATTATTGTTAACTAAAACTAATAAAAACATTTTTGCTATTTGAAATAAATCTGAATTACTAACGGGAAATAAACAAAAACTAAAAGTGAACTAAAACTAAAAATGAATAAATAAATAATAGAAAGACAAAAGCACCAAATTAATAAAAAGAAAAATAAACTAAAAGAAAACTGAAAATATCAAAATGAATCTAAAAATCTATAATAAAGATATAAAAAGGTCATTAAAATATTATTAAAAACGATAACAGTATATAAATAAATAATAATAAACATGCTTCGATTTAATCAGTTGTGCATTTCATTGATTGTGATTTAATCACACTATAGTTACATGTTAGCATGTCTAAATTGTTGCTTTAAAGGTTAACAATAAACATAATAGCAAATACATTTTAAATGCATTACCAAACAATAATAATTTTTTAAATAACTGGTTTTGTTTTAGTATATTTTGAAATGTAATTTATTCCTGTGATGGCAAAGCTGAATTTTCAGTCTTCAGTGTCACATGATCCTTCAGAAACCATTCGAATATGCTGATTTTGTGCTCAAGAAACAGTTCTAATTATCAATTTTAAAAACAGTTGTGTTTTTTGTGTGATTTTTAGGATTTATTGATGAGTGGTAAGTTGAAAAGAACATGATTTATTTGAATGCATTATCAAATCTGTATTGCTAAGGGGGGGAAAAAATCAGAATTATTTCAAAATAAACCAAATGTAAAATTGATTTGAAACATTAATTAGAAATACTTTTATTATGCAAAGTGATACAAAAGACATGAAGCTAGCACAACTATGAAGGAAATCAGTTGTGTGGTGGACAACAGTTTAGAGACCATACACAAAAATATTGAACCATAAAATGTCACAATTTACCAATCGTAATCAAATATTCCTGAGATAGGAATATATACTACAATACTGCATATTATATTGTGCTTCATTTCATTAAAAGGTTGGTTGAAATAGTTATTATTTTTTTCTATTTCTTTCTTTCATTCATTCTTTCTTTAATTTTCCTTGTGGTTTCTCCAGCATTTCTTGAATCTCATTCCTTTCCTTAGTCTCTCTTTGAATGTTTAACCCCCATCTCACCCACTCTTCCTTTCTTTCTCTCTCTCTCTCTCTCTCCCGCTGGGTCAGACTGCTCTCTGCCCTCATCTCTCCTCAGCCTGTCCCCAATAATCCTGCCTTCAATACCCGGAGCCCCAGACCCTTCTGCCCCAGTCCAGACCTCCAGCACCCAGCCACTATCGGGTTCCTCTCTCTGCCTTTTCAGGATCTGACACCTCTTGCCCCCTCTGCAATTCCCAACTATCTCTCTAGGACGCCAGCGCCACTCCACCTGGAGTGGGTTAGCAATGTAAGAGGCAGGCAGCAAGTGTGAAGACCAGACCAAAAAGGAAAAAGAAAAAAAGACCTTTCTAAGTATCGACTAGGACTTTTTCATTTTTTATTGACTGAGCTTGAGCATTTGAAAGGAAAAATGGCATATGCATTGCATATGGGTTGAAATTCAAATGAACTTCGAATGTTGACAAAGCCTTAGTAAAAGAAGTTTTGGAAGAAAAAAAAAGGTTAAAGCCAAATATATAGGTCTTCATCTTTTCTAAGACATTATTGGGAGAAATAGAGTGACAACTGATACAGTATTTATATAATTTTATGTTATGAAGATCTCATTGATTTACAGTACATTACCAAATATGCAATTTGCTAATTTTCTTCTCATTTTGGGCCTCTGAATAAAACTAAGGTATTTAAGGTATTTTATTTTCTTCCTCAAGTATGAACTCCAAAACATGCAAACTTTTTGTCAATTATTTTATTTATTTATTTATTTTTAAGATTTTGTCTAAAGCTTCAGCAATGGATGTTTTGCAATTTGTGACTGATCATTTTTATTTGCTCAGTATCCAAATTTGATCATTTTTGTTGCAGACAACAGCATAAAAATCAGGAAAGCATTGTGAAAGTTTTTCACTAAGCACGCATAAACGTTGTTTTCTCAAAAACACAATCACGTACATACATGCTGCTCACATATTATTGTAGCCCAGTTTGTGCTGATTACAGTGTTATTAAACTTTAGACATTGAAATGTTTGTAAGCAACTGAAAAAAGCACAAATGTCAGGGCATGTCAAAACTTTTCCAGGGCCCCAAATCACCCTCGGACCACAGAGGGTTAATGCTACTACTTTTATTTTAATGAAGTTATCTTGTAACAAGCCATCACACAATGAAATCTGATCTTATCTTTCAAACTGAAAGAAAAAAATAAGATTTTGTTTCATTTCAAACCAAATATGAAAGTGAAAAGTTCATGTTTTTTTCCTGTTCGGACTACAAACTAAACTGGTTTGAATCAACTAGGCCCTTTCACATAAAAAACATTTTAATTTTCA